GGGTGGGGTGTGTGGGGCGGGGTGGGGGGTTCAATCAGGTGAAGGGGGTTACTGGGGTAAAGAAGGAAATCGGGAAATGATGAGAATATTTCAGTCATTATTATTATAAAAGACGACCGAACCGACCTGTTAAAATAACGAGTGAAACTTCTAATGACGGTTTCTCTGCGACCATCCGCCTCTGAATTCCGAAAATCCGGGGATTTGGTTTTTGCTCCGAATCCGCGCCAAAAGCAAAATTCACTTAAAATCCGAATTGAAAGATCAGATGGGCGCCGCCATCTTGGACTCCCATCAGTCACTGCGCTGAGTACGCGCCAGCGCATTGGAGCCTGGCGACACAGCGCCATCTCCCGGGGAACTGGCGAAATGCACCTGATACATCTCCAGTTTCTCTGAGAGTTTGGTACATCTGACTCAAAGCAATCTTTAAAGCACACTCCTTTCTCTCCGCAGGGCTTTTCCCTTCAATCTCTTTTTTGTGTCAAATCTATCACAGCTGGAAACCCTAATATGCCCACACTTCATCCATTCTTCTGGAGTGAACTGTAGACTATTATCGGATTTTGGGATGTCTGATAGGCTAAATCTAAATCTAATAGACTACAACAAGGATTAGTTTGATTTTTCACAGGATGCTGCGCGTAGCAATCGAAATGATACCATGCCCCATCAATAAAGTATTGTCATAGTCTAGTAGTTGTCATAGTTTGAGCGAACTATACGTTAAATGGAAAAGCCCTGAGGAAAATTGATACACAGAGAGATCTGGGTGTTCAGGTCCGTTGTACCCTGAAGATGGCAGCACAGGTCGATAGAGTGGTCAAGAAGGCATACGGCATGCTTTCATTCATCGGACGGGGTATTGAGTACAAGAGTTGGCAGGTCATGTTACAGTTGTATAGGACTTTGGTTCGACCACATTTGGAATACTGCGTACAGTTCTGGTCGCCACATTACCAAAAGGATGTGGATGCTTTGGAGAGGGTGCAGAGGAGGTTCACCAGGATGTTGCCTGGTATGGAGGGCGCTACCTATGAACAGAGGTTGAGTAGATTAGGATTATTTACATGAGAAAGACAGAGGTTGATGGGGGACCTGATTGAGGTCTACAAAATCATGAGGGGTATAGACAGGGTGGATAGCAAGAAGCTTTTTCCCAGAGTGGGGGACTCAATTACTAGGGGTCATAATTTCAAGGTGAGAGGGGAAAAGTTTAAGGGAGATATGCGTGGAAAGTTCTTTACGCAGAGAGTGGTGGGTGCCTGGAACGCATTGCCAGCGGAGGTGGTAGAGGCGGGCACGATAGCGTCATTTAAGATGTATCTAGACAGATGCATGAATGGGCAGGGAGCAGAGGGATACAGATTTTTGGAAAAAAGGTGAGATAACAAGGTGTAGAGCTGTATGAACACAGCAGGCCAAGCAGCATCAGATCCTCCTGCTCCTCTGATACTGCTTGGCCTGCTGTGTTCATCCAGCTCTACACCTTGTTATCTCAGATTCTCCAGTATCTGCAGTTTCCTACTGTCTTGGAAATTAGGTGATAGGTTTAGATAGAGGATCTGGATCGGCGCAGGCTTGGAGGGCCGAAGGGCCTGTTCCTGTGCTGTAATTTTCATTGTTCTTTGTTCTTTGTTCTAACCATGAGAAGGGTTTAGCCATGTAACTCACATACATCAGTCCCAAACTTCAACTAAGGTCAAATCTTGTGCTAGAGCAATGGGCTCCTACTTGAATGAGCCAAACAGATCCCACATTCTCCTTATACATTGTTTCAGCTCTGTCAGTATTCTGGGCAAACTGAAGCTGCTACAGACTCTCTGGATCTAATTTATGCCGAAGAACTTATGCATAAGTATTAGTTTCTTACTGTTACGAAGTTGGGTAGAGTACTTGTGGATTGGGAGGCAGGAAGTTAGAATTTGGTGTTTGTAAAATGCTAGAGGGGGCTCGGGAAGCATTGTGTGGCCCCTGTAAAAGATTATGTGCTTTTGCTGCACTCAAGAGATTTAAAATGGATATCTGTGAGCAGCAGCTTGAAAGTTTGCACATAGAAAGCACCCAAATTGAAACATTTGTATCATAAGGCCGTACAGTTAGCAGGCCAAGCAGCACCTTTTACCAAGACAACAAGTTTTGAATTTAGCCAATCAATTTGAACCAGGCACTGAGATACCAAAAACCAATTCTATTTAAATCTGATGGTTTTGACAACGCAGAGCTTCCAGACATGAGCCTGTTCTGAACCAAGGGAACCGACAACAAGAACCTCAACAGCCAGCTGTACTTCAAAACTGCATTTTCCTTAGTGGCAAGCTTAAACTCCTGAGACCCCAAAGTTTCCAATCTAGCTAGCAGGGAGGGGAAGGCAGGTGGTGACAGTGCATGGTACTCCAAGGGTAGGAAGCCTGATTAAAGTTTCTGTGATTAAAACTGCTGTTTAGGTTCTAATAATGTTTAATCTGTGTTTAATTTGATCGTGTTTTTAATTACTGTTCTCTGTGTAATTGATAGTGTTAATTTCACTGTTCAGTGCTTTTACCTGTATTTCTTGTATTATAATTACCTTTTTTGTATTTAAATAAACACAGAGATTCTTTTGACCTGAAACACCTGTCTAATGCCTCCTTCCTTCCACATTCCCTAAGTAAGACCAGTATCAGAACCTAGTGATCTGGGGGTGATTTGAACCACCTAAAATCAGCAACTTACTGAGTCCAAACCAGAACCCTACAGAATCTATGTCTTATCTACTTTACAACCACTACCACTTCTTCTGTCTATTATTGTACAATGCCTTTGATCTCCAATCTTCCTTCACTCCTGACTTGTGCCCTGTGGATGATGCACAGGCACAAAAGAGACAGAGGGGTGAGACACCCACCACAGAATCCCAAACCCCTGACCTGATCTTATAGTCACAGCATCTATAGGGTGAGTTCAGTTCAGTTTCTGGTCAGTGGTGGATCCCAGGATATCGATGGTGATGGTAATGTCATTGAACATCAAAGGGGAGATGCTTGGATTCTCTCTTATTGGGATTGGATATTGCCTGGTACTTGTCTGGGCCAAATGTTTCTTTCCACTCAACAGCCGAAGCCTGGCTACTATCCAGGTCTTGCTGTATTTGAACATGGACTGCTTCAGTATCTGTGGAGTCGGGAATGGTGCTGAGCATGGTGCAATCATCAGCGAACATCCCCACTTCTGACCTTATGAAGGAGGGAAGGTCATTGATGAAGCAGCTGAAGGTGGTTGGGCCGAGGACACTACCGTGAGGAACTCCTGCAGAGATGTCCTGGAGCTGAGATAACTGACATCCAACAACCACAGCCATTTTCTTATGTGCCAGGTATGACTCCAACCAGCTGAGAGTTTTCCCCTGATTTCCATTGATTCCAGTTTTGCTAGGACTCTGATTCTTTGATGCCATACTCAGTTAAGTGCAACCTTAATGTCAAGGGCAGTCACTCTCACCTCACCTCTGGAATTCAGCTCTTTTGTCTATGTTTGAACTAAGATTGAAAACAGGTCAGGAGCTGAGTGGCCCTGGTAACACAAACTGAGCATCACTAAGCAGGTTATTGCTAAGCTAGTGCTACTCGATAGCACTGTTGATGACACCTTCCATCATTTTGTTAATGATTGCGAGTTGACAGATGAAGCAGTAATTGCATGGATTGGTTTTGCTCTTTTATTTTGTATACAGGACATAGCTGGGCAATATTCCACATTTTCAGGTAGATGCCAGTGTTGCAGCCATACTGGAACAGCTTGGGTAGGAGAGCGCCTAATTCTGGAGTGCAAGACTTCAGCAATGTTGCTGTAATATTGTCAGGGCTCTTTTGATCACATAGAGTTAAGCAAATTGACTAAAGACTGCAATTTGTGTTGCTGGAGACCTCAAGAAGAGGCTGAAATGGATCATCCACTTGGCACTGCTAGCTGAAGCAGAATAACAAACATTTCAGCCTTGGCTTTCATGCTGATGTGTTAAGATCCCCCATCATTGAGGATGGGGATATTTGTGGAGTCTCCTCCTCCTGTTAATTGTAAAGGATGTGGCAGGACTGCAGAGCTTAGTTCTGATCCATTGGTTGTGGAATTGCTTATCAGTGTCTAGCTTGACACCTCAGTCTTGGGTATGCCTGGTGCTGCTCCTGGCATGTTCTCCTCTGCTCTCATTGAAGCAGGGTTGATCCCCTGGTTTGACAATGGGGGATATGCTGGGCCATGGGGTTGCAGACTGTGCTGGAGTACCGTTCTGGTGTTGTTGATGGCCCACAATCATGGATGGCCAGTCATGAATTGCTAGATCAGTTCAAAATATGTTCCATTTAATACAGTGATAGCGCCACACAACATGATGGAGGGTATTCTCAGTGTGAAGGCAGGTCTTCACCTCTACAAGGACTGGGCAGTGGTCAATCTTACTGATACTGTCATGGACAGATACATCTGCAGCTGGCAGATTGGCAAGGATGAGATCAATTATGTTTTTCCCCCTTGTTGGTTTCGTCACCACCTGCCACAGAACCCAGTCTAGCAGTTATATCCTTTAGGACCCAACCAGCTTGATCAGTAATATTACTGTCAAGCTAGTCTTGGTGGTGGACATTGAAATCCCCCATCCAGAGTATATTCTTGCCACCCTCAATTTTTCCTCCAAGTGTTGATCAATAAGAAAAAGTACTGTTTCATCAGCCAAGGGAAGATGATATGTGGTAATCTGCAGGAGGTTTCACTGCCCATGAAGCCAGGAGAGTCAATTTTGAGAACTCACAATGCAACTCCATCCTGCCTGTATACCACTGTGCGACCACCTCTACTGCCTCTGAACTGTTGCTGAGCCAGGACATATCCTGGGATGGTGATGGTGGTGCAGGGGACATTGCCTGTAAGATATGATTCCATGAGTACAACTGTTTCAGGCTGTTACTTGACGAGTCTGTGACACAGCTCTCCCAGTTTTGGCACTAGCCCCCAGATGTTGGTAAGGGGCAATCTGAAGTTGTTGTTTCTGACGCCTTGTCAATGTGGGTGGTCTGTCCAGTTTCATTTATTTCTTTACAACTTGTAGCAGTTTCATACACTGAATGGAATGCTCAGCTTTTTCAGAGGGACCATCCCTAATCACCCAGAGGGCGATTAGGAATTAAGCACTTTGCAGTGGGTTTGGAATCACATTTAGGCCAGACCAGGTAATGATGGCAGAGTTCCTTCCCTGAAGGGCATTAGTGAGCCAGATGGGTTTTTACAACAATGGCTACATGGCTGTTATTAGAGATAGTAAGAACTGCAG